AGGGCCTGAGGCAGGAAGCCAGATCTCCCCAGCAACGTGCCTGGATCGCCACCCCTACACCCGAGGACACACACATATATGCAAACACGTTCTCTCTGCTCATCCCACAAGTGCAGTGCCAGAAATAAACTGGCTGCCATAAGTGCTGAAAGAAGAAGAGGAAACAATAAGGTGGATTTCACGGCCAGAAAGTTGCTCGCCTTGTCATTAGATAGTCTTGCTTGGAGATTTCACTGATTTCAGAACCAGTTTGAGGCTTAAAAACACCGAGCTTTCACCTGGTGTCGGAGACTTTGGGCCAGGCAACTGTAAAGACGAGAAACATTTCATGTTCACAAAGGGGGTCCTAAATTAACATACACACAAGTCTAAAGTCACCTGAAAGGAGCAGTGGATTAGAAAAAGTAAATCAAGCACTGCCAAATCCTATATTTTTTAAAGTGTCTTTGATATTCAGTCAGAACCATCTAGAAGGACACCATGTGCACTGAGGGTTGATAGCTGGAACTCTGGCCTCTTGGCTCTGAGTAGTTAAAAAAAAGAGCGGGACCAGCTGTCTGAAATGATGGAGTATTATTCAACAATGTGCTGTAACCAGTATATGAGTTGGAAAAAAGAGGTCATGGACTGTCAGAGTGGTAGATGTCAGCTCTGCAGTCAGATTTCTCTCGCAGCTCTTTGGTGGCCAGTGATGTAATTGATCATCATGGTGTCTGTGAATAATCCACCCTGAAGTTGAGCACATCTCATTCAAGAAGTAACAAGCAGAGCAAGGGAAGACAGGATTTAAGGAAAATGTACCCAGACAGATCTGAGCAAAGGAAACCAGAGCTGGGTACAAGGCGGTGGCTCGGATGAGTTCTAGAGTTTAGTGAACTCAGACTGAAATCATTAATTATTCGACCAGCTTAACTGCTTAACCACCACCATATTAAGTTGAACTTCTCCCATTCAAAACAAAGAATTGTTTAATAAAGACCTCTGAAAAAGAACACCATTTTAAGTGGAACTTTAGTCAGTTCTATTAAATAAGTAACAAAGCCCTTTTTATTGGTATTCAGGGACTTCTGGTATTACGGAATAAAAACCAAGTGAACTTAGTACAGTGTCAAACTCACTCACGGAAGAAAATTATTTATCCCAGCAGTGATTCAAGAATAAGGTGTGTAATGCTTTCTGGATGTCAAAAGCCATTTTAAGAAGTGGCTAATGCTTTTCTGGATAGCCAAGAAGAAGTGTCTGAATACAGCCGTGCCCCCAAGAATACAAGCTGTTCCCAACATTCAGGCAGGTTGTGCTCCAAAAATGTTTCATTGTAAATGACTTGTTTGGCACTTGAGTTTCATTTGTCCAGAGAGATGACAGTGCAAGTAGAGGCCCCGATCCCAGTGACTTTGCATAAATGAGGCAGGCCCGAGTGCCCCAGTGGTCAAGAGAAAAATCTAGACTCCTTAGCCTCAGAGACAGGAGAAGCGTTGTGGACGTGCCCTGAGGATCCAGGACAGACCACTCCTGGCCAAAGTGCAAATCTTTTGAGTAAGACAGAAATGAAATCTAGTTTTAGTTCTGCCACCTTCCAGCTGCTTGTCTTTGGCCAAGTTACTCCTCCGAACCTCAGTTTCCTCATATAAAACGAGAAAAATGGCACCATCCTACACTGCAGAATTGATGGCAGCTAAGGGCTCTGGTTCAACATGACTGAATTCTCTGTGTCCTTCCCAACTTGCTCCCGTTTGGTCCCAGTCTTCTTCAGCCAATCACTCTGGAACATTTCCATGTACGTCCATCCCCTCAGCACTACCCTCACCCAGCCACGCCAGCATCTCTGACCACAGGACCATTGTGTGCCCCTCTCTCCTCAACGTTCTCCTAAGGAATAGCCCTGCACCCCGTATTGTTTCCCTTGAATCCATTCTTGACAGGGCAAGAGCTCCTGAGAGCATTTTAAAATGCAAGTCTGATCCTGTGGCTTCTGCTTAAAAGAATTCAACAGCTTCTCATTACCCCTTAGATAAAAACCAAACTCCTTGATGTGAAATTTAAAGCCCTGCACACTGTGTGACCCCTGCCTCTGTCCTCGCTCCTAACGTTCTTCCTTCTCGAACTTCATGCTAGCTTAGGAAGGCCTCTTTAGTGCACCCCCCTGGCTGCACCCCACTAACTTCCTCTCCCACACCGAGCCCTAAAACAGCCTATCTGTTGGGCTGGGGCACTTTTCCTTCATTGTGTTCTCCCTGCTTCTCCAGGCTGACACTCTTACCTGTTGCCTTTGCTGTAGGGTAGAGGCCAGCCTTGACCTGATCGGGTATTAGGATTCCAATAACAGCTCCCAATAATTCCCCGCTCAAGAGACTTTAATGACTAGCTTAGTTCTCTGCTTTCCCTGCAGGCTAGAAGGCCAGTGCAGTAAAGGAAGATGGCAGTAAGAGTGAGTGAAGCTTTGGACTGCCTGGGTTAGATTTGGGACCATGCCCCATATTTGCTTGTCAAATTGTCCCTAGTCTTTAAACTTCAATTTCATCATCTGCAAAATGGAGGAAAATGATATTGCAAATGGGAATATACATATAGGCATATTATATATATGCATATATAAAGGGTGTAAGCACATTGACTGGTACATAAAACTAAGTCTACAATAAATCGAGAGAGGCTGGGTATGGTAGATCACACCTGTAATCACAACACTTTTAGAGGCCAAGACAGGAGGATCAGTTGAGGCCAGGAATTCACTCTGTAGCCTGGGCAACACAGACTCCATCTCTATCAAAAAAATAAAAAAATAAGGTGGGCATGATAGGGCACACCTGTTGTCCCAACTACTTGAAAGGGCTGAGGCAGGAAGATTGCTTGAGCCCAGGAGTTTGTGGCTGCCCTGAGGTAAAATCAAGCCACTGCACTCCAGCCTGGGTGACAGAGCAAGACAGTCTCAAAAAAAGAGAAAAAAGTTAATAATTAAACAGATACACATATAATTTGTGCTTTCTAAATACATACAAGATTTTTTGTTGTTTTTCTCTCTCTTTTTTTGCTTTTTAAAGCAAGGTATACCTAAGACTGTTTTCCAGTGGGTCCATTTTCTCTCTTTCTTCGTTTTCCATGAACTTGATAAGATTAGAGTCTCCAAGCAAAAAGTATGAATACTCCTTTCTTCTCCAGTTGCTCATTTTCTCTGCCAATCTATGTATTCTTTAGGGATCACATAAAGATGTAAAGTGGAAATAAAGGCAGTTAATGAAAAGATTAGAGCCATAAACATGTTCTCCAGCCAACCAGGCATCCCTCCCTTTACTCATCGTAGTTTCTGCCTCTGCCCACAGCCCTTAATCCTTGCCCATTTCTGAGCCTCTTCCTTAGTGGCCACTGGCTGGCAGGTCAGTCCAGCCCTTGAAGCAGGAGCCTGAAGCTCATTCAGTCAAGACTGTAGCCTGCAAGCAAATCCAAGCATTCTCGGCTTTCTACTTCACTCTGAAAAAACAAGCCGTTTAAAAGATAGGTTTATAAAAGAGTCTCTAAACATGCTTCAAAGACAAAGTGACTAATGAGAGCAGCATGGGATATGTGACATTTTTTAAGGTCTTTGGAGAAGATGACAAAACAAGGAGCTTCCCACTTTCCTGGGCTGTAAGTTTTTGTGAAAACATCAAGTGTGAAAAATCAATAAACAGTGTACCTGGGCAGTGCAGAGTTTTGTGAGGGTGTCCTGATTACCTGGTTGTCACCAGGCTTTAGAGGAGCTATTATCATTTCGATTTTCGGATGAGTCACTGGGTCTGTCGCTTGCCCTCCTGAGACACTTCATTATGATTCAGTGCAAAGTCCCGAAAGGCTGGGCTTCCGGGAGTCAAGGGTGCCGGGGTGGGGGTTGGGCGTGTTGGCATGAGGCTTAATTGACACCTTTGATGTAGCCTAAGACAGAACCCGCACCTCCCACTGCCGCTTGGGAGACGTCAGCCTTACGCAGAAAAGGCATCTGCTGATGAATCCTGCATCTCATTCAGCCTGCTCTGGGAGCAGCCTTAGCCATCTTTAGCTAATCTGTTTCCAACCGCTGCGCGTGCTGGGCTGGGTACAGAGAGGAGATTTCGCCTCTTGCTGTTGTCTGGTTCGACACTAAGACTGTGTCCATGTTAGAACTCATAGAAGGTAAGTGGAATGCACTGCCGCTGTCCCTCATGGAAAGTGTGGACTGTGCACCCTCAAGCGTGTCTGTCTCTCCCGGCTGATTCTGCCGCACTGATTGAGGAACTATAATGTCATTTTTACAGGTAAAACAGAGGTGACCTGTTGTATCTTAAAAAACAAATCATGTCTTTCAGGGTTCCATCTGTTCTTAGAGGTGATGTTACTTAGAGACAGGAATTGCTTACTTGAGTGCTGTGGCTTTAATTTGGTTCAGGGAGAATGGTATATACAACTCTGGAGAGTCAGGAGCATGCCAGTGACTTGAACCCGTTAGGAAGCAGTTTTTCTTTTTAATGGCAGCAAAGACAGAAGTGAGGAAGGAGTTCCTCATAGTCTGTGGCCAACTACTTTGTCCTATTCGAGTCAGGTTCATCAGATGCAGACAGGGCACAAGTAGATGCAGGAACTTTTTCTAGAAGTGAGTTACTGATTATAAAAAAAATACAGTGACCAAGTTACTGGTAATGTCACTGGTGAACTGTGCTAATATTTATTCCTTCTGAGTAGCACTTGGCAGCTAAACTGAAGAATGAAGACGAAACCCACCTTGACCCCTCTCCTGAAGTCTCTGTTGGCACTGTTAAAGGCGTTGTTAATAAATTCATCCTGAAAGTTATGAACAGTACTTGCAAAAGCATTCTCTCACCTGGTGTTATATTAAATGTAGGAGGCTCTTCTTCATGATACAGATGAAAGGGGTCTGGGGTTTTAGGGGACGCCCCTCTGTAATTGTTTATTTCTTGAAGAAGATGGTTTGTGATGAGCACCCTTTAACATGCCGTTTTTTCTCTCTGTGTGGCTCTTTGCATTTCTAGTTAATGGAACCCCTGGTAGTCAGCTCTCTACTCCACGCTCAGGCAAATCGCCAAGCCCATCACCCACCAGCCCCGGAAGCCTGCGGAAGCAGAGGGTAAGGACATAAGCAAACTGCCTGTGTAAGACCTGTCTGAGCCTCGGTGCTGAGATGGTACTGATGCCAACAAGCAGGGCCGCTTGTCTCTAGGCGATAACTAAGCGAGGCCAGGAGGGGACCCACGGTGGGTCACTGACAGTTTAGCTAGAATTCAGGGTTCTAATTTCTCTGTAAACTTGTCTGAACCTTAACTCTGAGAAGAATGTGCTTCTCTGCTTCACTTTCAAATACTTTCTCTCTCGCTCTTTTTTTTTTGTGAAAGCACAGGTTTTATTAACACTGGTTAGTAAACTTTCCTAGTTGCAGTGAGTTTCATTAGATATCATCATTGACCATCATCAGCCCCTGGAGGAAAAGAAGGTTTCTTCATGGAGAGGAGGGCCCTGGTGGGAGACTGTGTACATTGTAAAGGATGCTGTCTCCGGAGCAGTGTAGGGTCCACAGAGTGGGGGAGGAGGAAGACATATGAAAGTGTTTCTGTGGACGAAACCCACATGGAACACCTTCCCTCTCATCACTACTCGCATTTGTGGAGACATTGGCTGAGCCGGGAGGGCATCCTGGGAAAGCTGCTGGAAACAGTGTGAGCTTCACGCACAGGAATGGGTGAAAAACTACTGTTCTTAGATGCTCACAAGCTGTACTGTTTGTCTTTACCAGTAATACCAAGGTAGGAATAAAAGGAGTGGGGAGGGGGTGAGGCAGCATGGAAGAAACGGCAGGGCCTTCACGGTCCTGATTTCAGGAGCAAGGTGGCAGGGATTGGGGTGTGGGGCACGCCTTTAGGAGTTTTTATGACCATGCGTATTGAACATTGTAATGAGCAAGGGCTCCTTGCGGGCTACTGCGTCCAATACTGGATTCCTCAGTTTGGTTTATTTCAGTCTATGTTTTGCAATGAGGCCTCTAAGTTCCATAAACTTAAGCTTCATTCGAGATGGAAGGCCTTCCCTTCAACATGCCTGAGCAGGCAGGTTTGTGTCCTTAGGCCACCAGAGCCATCAGTTGTCTAAGAGTGTGGTGCAGGGCGACTCTATAGGTCCCAGGGGTCCTTTAACACCTGCTGCACCAAGCACCAGGTTTATTATCTTTCTCCACTGATCCTCCAGCATCTGGCGGAGGTGGTTTAGATGGTTTGGTAAAGCCACGGGATTTGGCACCAGCTTGTCCACTAAGTAGCTGTGTTATCTTAGATAATTCTATTATCTTTCCTGGGCTCCACTTGGAAAAACAAAACAAGAAAGAGCCCCTTTCAGATAGAAAGCCCCACAATTATATTCAAGCTCCATTTGAGTGTCTTCACTGGAGTTTCTTCTTGGCCACAGTCTAATTTGGCATTTTAAAGTACAGGAATCTGGCCAGGCTTGGTGGCTCAGCCTATCATCCCAGCATTTTGGGAGGCCGAGGTGAGTGGATTGCCTGAGCCTGCGGGTTCGAGACCCACCAGAGCAACTTGGCAAGATCTCGTCTCTACAATAAACCAAAAATTAGCTGGGCATAGTACCGCACACCTGTACTTCCGTCTACTTGGAAGGCTGAGGCAGAAGGATCGCTGGAGCCCAGCAGGTTGAGGCTGCAGTGGCCGGGAGCGTGCTACTGCACTCCGGTTCAGTCTGGGCGACAGAGTGAGACTCCAACACAAAAGAATAAATAAATAAATAAAGTACAGGAATCATTAGTGAACTACTCGAAGAAGATGGGGCCAAATTCCTTTACCACCCTCCTACCCAAGGATGCTAGGTCAATCCTTGAGGGAAGAAAGAGCTGGTGTGGTCATTATTCTCTTGTCAGTGTTACCCAGCAAGACTTCAGTGTTTAGGGACTGCCCTTAGATGTCGCACAGGAAGGACTCTCTTTTGAGAACAGTCCCTCTCGTCAAGTGTGTACTTTGGAGAACACACCTAGCGTAGAAATCCCTCTTTATTCTTTGAACTAGCTAAACGTATATTAAGGATTTATTGTCATAGTTTGTGTGTAGTTGTTGAGATGAAATTAAGGGTGACTGGAAATCCTTGCTACCTAGGCAGGCTTCTCTCCCTGCTTGTCTGCCATGGGGAATCCCATCTTGGGGACATAAAGCTTTGTTTGACATCCCTCTGCTGGCAGAACGAGGCTTCTTTTGCCCTTTGTATTCTCTGCCGCACTATGCTTTGGTCCAACTGAGGCAGAAAATTTCCATCCTGCTACGTGGCCATTGGCTTATGTAATTAACAGTTGAACATTTCTGGCACTTGGGAACTGAGGGTAAGGTAAAGGGTCTCATATGGAGTCTTCATTCTGCCATTTAAACTACCAGTGCAAACACCACACTCAAAGAAAAAAAATTCCATTTGTTTCGGGGGGACAAAGGCTGTATCACCATCTGAAAACATTTATGAAGTACATGCTGGGAGCAGGGCGCTGGATATATTCAAAGATGACTCCGTTGCCAAGCTTTTGAATTTAGGCTATAAATGAACAGGTCCCACCCATGTACCGTGTCCGTGCAGGGAGAGGTTCCCAGCTGCTTCAGCCAGAGGAGCTTTCATCTTGGTGTGTAGGCAGTGGCATCAAATAATTCCTCCCAGTTAAAAATGGGCCTAGAAGATCCCTAAAAACCGATCCTGTTTCAAATTTGGTTAATGTTTTTCTCAAATGGTTGGCTATATTCCTATGCAGGAAATACTGAAATAAGTAAAAGATGGCGTGGGCTAAAAGAAGACACTTCAAAGAATAAATTAACTCTTTTTATTGCAAATTGGAAAGCATTCGCGACTTCTATTTTTTCCTTCCGTGTTGCCTAGCAACGTGACCAAGAAAATGAATCGACTGCCCCCTCCCCAACAGACACACACACACACACACACACACTTTCTCTCTCTCCCTCTCTCTCTCTCTCTCTCTCTCTTTCTCTCATTCTCTCTCTCCCTCCTTACCCTCATTTTAAAATACAGGAACATAAACTGTTTTCTTAAAAGGAATATTGAGATATTTGGTCTCTCTGCGTATAAGAAAATCTATATTTTTACTTATCTGAATCGTGAGATTTAATCAGCCTTTTTTCTTCTGTGAAAATCACACTTTTACATTACCTCTTTTAACATTTTAGAAGAGTCTTGTACAATAAGAGTCTGCATGCCAGACATTTCTCTTCATAAACAATTCATGGCAATGTACCAAGTAACCTATTTTTCCAAAACACAGTTATTTCAATTGCAGTCTAGAAGCATTTGACTGGTCACAGAAGCAGATCTTGGAGGCTCTTTCCCACCCAGGAACCTTTTTTGGTCCCGTTTCTTAATCCATCAGGAAGAAATGTGTTGGGTTGTGTAGGCTGAATTAAGCTCCCCTCTCGACTCCCACATCCCTGACTTTTGTAGATTATCTGATCAGTCAGATGATGTGGGGAGTGGGTGGTTCAGAATCGGAAGCAAGCCAACTCCAGACACTCTCTGCAGATCTGAGCTGGTTGCCGGGCTACCAAGTGAGAGATCTAGTGGCAGGAAGGGACCGGAGGGGAGGAGAGAGGAGGTGATGAGTGAGCAGTAGGGGAATAGGGAAAAAGCACGGAGAAGGAATGGGGTGGGGGGAACATTTTGCACTGTTTCTGTCATCCAAAACATCCAATTTTGAGAAAGCAGTGGCTGTGGGGTTTTCTGTTATGTGCAGACGCAACACTTGAGTTGCTGCTCTGGACCCCAATTTGCTGAATGCCGTCTGGGGCTCTTTATTTTGTGAGGTAAGCATACTCCTTTTCTACCCAGAAAGGGAAGGAAACATTCAAGGAAGAGCTGCCTAGACACATAGTAGCAGAGTTGGCCTTGACTTGGGGAGCCAAGGAGACAAAGGCTCATGAGTAGATTGAGTGGCATTTCTCCCCAATCAGGGAAGAGTCAGCACCACTTTGTCTGTTTAGATTCTTTCTCTGTTATTATCCTCCCTCTTCTCCAAAGTTGGTGAGTTAGAAAGGTCTAGTGGTTTTAGAATCCAAGGACGTCCTAAGAGGGCCACAGGGCACCCAGAAAGCCAAGTAAACAAATTTGTACTGCCCTTCATCTTGCAGGACCTGTACCGCCCCCTCTCTTCGGATGATTTGGATTCAGTAGGCGATTCAGTGTAAAGAGGCAATGGAGCAATGTGTATGGTTTGTGATGGGGTGAAGGTTTCACGTTTCCTAAGCAAAAGTCTAACAGCAAAATATACAAAAGAGTTTTGCATACCTTGAAGTGCGAAAGACCAAATCATACGAAAATAAAATATGCAGGCACTTTGTATTCATGATCATCAGCCTCGAGGGAGAGTATTTTTAAAAATATCTCCTATATTGACTTGGTTGGGGAGAGTTTGAGTACAAAATGCTGAGATTTTTATACAAGGCCTGTCTCTACATGCATTTTGTAGAGAGACCCAATGCTGAGTGCAAGAACACACTCACGATGTGGCAACAGACAGGCATAATTTCTGTAGGTAGAGCTTTCTTTTTAATAAAAAAAAAAAGACATAGATACAATTATTCTTTACTTTCTGTAAAGTATATTGAAATGGCTGGCATGTTTTTTCTTAAACTTCTAGTCTTTTAAAAATTTGGAATATTGTTTTTTTAGTGGTACTCGTATCTCAAAATAATAAAAATATTTGGTTAGATTTTTTTTTTCTTTCTAGACAGTAGAAAAAGCTACTTATGGTTTTGAGGGCTATTATATCTGAGAGAAAAAAGTCATGACAAGAACACATCTCCTGAATACTCTAAAATTGGGCATTGGGAACTTTCCTTGTTTTTGTTGTCAAGTAAATTTTATTTTTTAAAGTTATCTTTTATTGCAAACAGCATAAACATAACTTAAAAACAATTTGTCCAATGGCATTGCTATAAATTGTATAATTCTTCCCTATAATCATATATATAATTTTTCAAATGTGTAAAAGCTGAAGCTAGGAACTTTTTAATATGCGGATCTAAAAATATTGTGTCTGGACTTTTACCCAAAAAAAAATCTGAAAGGCAAAATTATCTTAAA